TTGGTCATTTCCATCGCCCTTCTGCCTTGGTATTCATCAACTTCAAGGTTTGTAACCTTGGGCGATCTAACTTTGCATCATGGAACCACTCGGCGATCCGCCAACTTGATTCTTTCCTTCAAGGCTTGGCACACTGGAACTTTAAGCGGTCAAGTAGCCATTCGGCGGCTCGCCAAGTTGACTTGGCGATCACCAAGCTTGCATTTCTTCATTCTTTCAGGTTGCTTCGTTCCTTTTGGAAAATTAGTGTCCTTGCTTTGTTCCTTAATCCATATACCTGGAAATCCAAGGTTTTACATTAGTTATTGGCACAAAATAAGCATTTGAGGACACTAAACCTATACAAATAAAGCCCTAAATAAGTCTAAACCTCAAACTCATCAGTGTTTAATCCATATGTTAATCAAGGAAATTGATATCTCTTGATTGATGGTTCATGCACAACAAATTGAGGAAGAGAAACTCAAAGAGATGTCAAGGGAGTCCAAGAGGTCTCGTGTGGGTGATGGTGACTTTTCTCATTTGATATCTTGTGGACAAGGTCGTTCTAAATCCTGGCAAAGGTTTTTTGGTAAGTCTCTTCACATGCTCCGGCTTCTAAGTTCAACAAGTATAGGGTGTGTAACCAAAAACCTCAAATAGGTAATGGTGGTGGATCTTCTATGACTAATTTCACAAGGTGTGGCAAGAAGCATGATTGCAAATGCTTGGCAGGCACAGATGGTTACTTTAAGTGTGGAAAGGATGGTCACAAAATAAGAGATTGTTTGTTGGTTGCTACTAAGGGAAGGGATGGTAGGCAAGCTCAGCCTAGTGGTTCAGGTTCGGGTGCTACAAAGCAAAATAGATTTTATGCACTTCAGATTCAATAAGATCATGAGGGTTCTCCGGATGTTATGACCAGTATGTTGAAATTCTTTCATTTTGATGTGTATGCCTTGCTTGATCCCGGGGCTACATTGTCTTTCGTTACCCCTAATGTGGATATGAGATTTGGTGTTGGTTCTAAAATCCTTTATAATCCTTTTCATGTCTCTACTCGTGTTTGTGATTCTATTGTTGGTAAAAGAGTTTATAGAAATTGCCCTATTTTTGTTTCTCATGAAGTCACTCATGTTTATCTTGTAGAGTTTGATATGTTGTATTTTGATGTTATTTTTGGGATGAATTGGCTTTGTGCATGTTATACTTCCATAGATTGTAGGACCCGATTGGTCATATTCAAGGTTCCGAATGAACCTATCATGTCATGGGAAGGGGGAAATTATGCTTTTAAGGGTCAGTTTATATCTTGCTTAAAGGGCAGGAAAATGATTTCAAAGGTTAGAATTTATCATCTTGTTAAGGTTAGGGATACATATACGCAACCTATTTATATTCCTTCTTACCATATGACTCCGACTGAACTTAGGGAGTTGAAGAATCAATTGAAAGATTTGCTAGATAAGAGATTTATTAGGCAGAGTATCTTTTCATGTGGTGCTCTAATTCTGTAAGTTTGAAAGAAAGATGGTTCTCTCTAAATATGCATTGACTATCAACAATTGAATAAGGTTACCATACAAATAAGTATATGATTCCAAGGATTAATGACTTGGTGGAATGAAATGAAAAGGATGTTGCAGAATTTGTGGCTAAATGATCGAATTGCCAACAAGTTTTTGTGAGATCTTCAGTTTTTCTTTTTCATCAGTGTCACATCACCACCACAACAAATACATACATTGTTTATTATAACATACAACAACAAAATATGTGAATTCCATATTCTTCTTTAAAATTATCACCATTTTTTCTTCGGAAAAGGGCCAAAAATACACCTGAACTTTAAGCAAAGGTCTGAAAATACCCTCATCCATCTTTTCGTCTAAAAATACTCTTCTACTCATCTTTTTGGTCTAAACATACCATTACATTCACCTTTTTGACTCACTTATACACTTGAAACTAACAAACCTCTCTTTATTTTTTTTAAATATTTATTATGTGTCATTTTCTTATTTGATGAAATATAAACCTCACCTTTACTAAATTTTTGCATAATTTATTCAATACCTCTTCAAGACGCCAAAAAATATTTTTAAAAAAATCTAATAATTGTTGTATTTGTTGAAGCTTTTTTTTAAAAAAATGTTTTAGATAATTGATATATTATAGAAAATATAAGTGATTCCCTAATTATAGAGACATATTATATTATATTATATTATATTATTTATAAATCATATGCAGTGTCTAGATTTCCTTTTTTTTTTAATAAAAATAAATGTTTTTTTTTCTAATCATCTTTGTGATAACTAATTTCAAAGAGAGTTCCATAAAAATTGTAATTAAAGATTATCTAAATTCAAAAAAAGAGAGGATAAATGTTCGTAGCATGTAGGGATAAGAAAAGTAGAAAAAGAGAAAGAAAAAAATTATAATGTATTATAGACAAGATATCATTATTTTGATTATGACATTATTAATTTGTTTATGAAATATATATTAAGTATTTATATTATTTTTAGATTCTTGATTTAATTAACAAAATTTTAGCCATATATTTTTCTTTATGTCATATGTCTTCAATCCAAGTAAGAATTTGGAGAAAATAGAGAAAAATCAAATAGAGAGTAGCCGGATCCAAAAAAAAAAGTTACAACAATTACTAAAAACTACTAGATTTTAAAAACTAAAAATAAACTTAGGTCTTGAAGAGGTATAATTTTTTTTCTTGCATAAATTACGGATAGAAATTTAGTTGAGATGGGGTTTTTAATACATCAATAAGAAAATGATACATAATAAATATTTTTAAAAGATAAATAAATAAAGAGATGGTTGTTAGTTTCAAGTGTATGAGTGAGCCAAAAAGGTGAATTAAAGAGTTTTTCTAGACCAAAAAGATGATTAGAAGAGTACTTTTAGACCAAAAGATGGATGAAGAGTACTTTTAGACCTTTTCTTATAGTTTAGGGATATTTTTTACCATTTACCGTTTTTACTTTAAAATTTTGAAATTCTAACAATTTAAGAATCATTTTTACCTTGTTCCCAGTGACAACGATGATGTGAGAAGGAAATGCCGAAGAGCAAAGAGACTTTGAATTAAAGGTGACATTAAGGTGTCAAAATAAAGGGGCGGTGACATAAGTATTAATTATTGACTGTAGGTGACAATTATGTGATTAATAATTAAGGATTGTGGAGTTGCCCTCAAGTTTATAAGTTGGCAGTTTAGTCCATTGAATTAAATGAGGGGTAAAAGGGTAGATGACTAAAACCTAATTTAACCAATTTTGGTGGGAACCAAAACAAGAGGGAAGCCACCAGCGAGCTGTACCAAAAGGGGAAATAAAACATTTTCCCCCCGCCTCCCGCCGCTTCTTCTTCTTCTTCTTCTTCTTCTTCTTCTTCTTCTTCTTCTCCTCGTACATTGTTGATCTTGGCTACTAGTCCTTGAGCTTTCTTCTTCTTCTTATTTCTTCTTCTTGAATCAGATTTAGCTAATCCAATCAGTGGACCAGATTTCGTTCTGTATCAATTGGAATTACTTCATAAATGATTGGATTCACACACCATTGTTTTGGTAAGTAAAATTAACAGTTCTTTGAAATCATTCATCATCATCTGGGTACCTACAATTTTTTCAATAATTTTCATTCGCATTTCCAACAAATGGCTATATATATAGCAACGGAAAGGTTATTTCAATCGCAACAGAATAGACATATGTGACAACATATAACTTATACAAGCTGCAACATATAACTTACACATGTTGCAACATATGACTTACATGTCACAACATAATAGATATATGTAGAAACATATGACTTACATTTCGCAACAAAATAACCATATGTTGCGACATATAACTTACGCATGTTGCCACATGTGATTTATTTGTCACAACATAACAGCTACATGTAGCAACATATGACTTACATGTCGCCACAGAATAGTCATATGTAGAAACATATGACTTGCATGTCACCGCAGAACAGTTATATATAGCAACATATGACTTACACATTTCTTCATTAGTACTAATTGTTTTTTTAATTAATTTCTTCAGGTACAATAACTGGAGGGATTATTTATAGGGATTGATTATTGTGGTGAATGGGTCGAGAAGAAAAATCGATACATTTGGGTTGGAAGGATGGTAAGAAACGGAAAGGTCGGTAGGGATGACTGTCAAAAGAAATATTTTGTATGATGATTTTGTGCATTTAGTCATCCAAAATTGTGGATACAATTGTCAACCGAAAGATCTTTTCATGAGTTATATTCCTAGTTTTTTTTATAATGAGAAGGTCTTACCTTTTAAAATAACTGATCAGCCTAGTTTGCTTGTTTATTTGGGAGGAGCAGAGAGACAGCCCATATTAAGAGTCTACGTGGATGAAAATCCTATTGAGGAGGATCATAATCTAGAAGAAGACCAACAAGATATGTTAAATGATGAATTTGATGTTGTGGACATGAATAATCAGGATGATGAAATTAGAAAAAATGAAGTGCCAGACTTTGAGAGCAACAATCCTCCTACACCTATTATTGGCAGCAACATTCCATGTTCTTCTCAATCATCACGTGTGAATAATGTTCGAGATGATGAAACCGGTTTTTATAAGAGAATGGCATTCAAGAAAAAGGAAGAACTGGCAAATTCATTGAAAATTATTTGCTTGAAAAAAGATTTTAGACTGAAAAAGGTGATCAATTCTAGTAAAGTTTTTTTCTTTTAAATGTTCATATCTGGAGTGCAATTGGTGGCTGAGGGCTGTGAAATTTACAAGTAGCGACAGGTTTATCATTAGAATATATGAAAAGTACCATACGTGTGGTTCATAGCATCTTACAAGCCATAATCCGCATGTCACGGTAAAAGTCATAGGTAAGTACTTTGAAAATAGGTTTTCCAATGGTAAAGGGCCATCCACAAGAGACATGTCAAATCAATCCGCACAAAATTAGGTTGTAAGGTAAGCTATTAGAAGATTTATAAGGGCATGGACCATGCTAAGTCTAATATTAGGGGAACACATGAGCACGGGTATGCAGTGCTTAATGTGTATTGTTATATGCTTGAAGTTGTAAATCCAGGAAGCAAGACGGCATTGTCGCTCAACGAAAATGGGAGGTTCAAGTACTTCTTTGTATCATATGCCACTTGGATAACTGGTTTTCAAGAAATGAGAAAAGTAATAACCGTTGATGGGACATTCCTGAGGAGCAAGAATAAAGGAGTTTTGCTATCGGCGATGGCACAAGATGCTGAGAATCATATATTTCCAGTGGCTTTCTGTGTTGTGGACAAGGAATGTGATGCCTCATATGAATATTTTTTTCAAAATATGAGAAGCTTTGTAGATGATACTGATGAGTTGTGCATTATTTATGATAGGCATCCAAGTATTCGAAAGATAGTTTCGACTATCTAGCCCACATCTTATTATGGTTGTTGCATGAGACACCTTGGGGAAAATATTCAAAATAACTTTCATAATTCAAAGGTAGTGTCCCATTTTTATAAAGCAGCAAAGGCGTATGATAGATGTGAGTTCAATGACCATTTCAGTCAAATAAGAGCTTTGGTACCAAAGGCGGTTGAAACTCTTGAACGTATTGGATTCCACACATGGAGCAAGCCATTTTGCCTGGGAAATAGGTACATTATTGTCTATACCATCTCATTTGAGTTTATTGTAATTTTATGTGTTTTGATTGATTTTTATTTTTTGTTGTGTAGATATAGCATTATGACGTCAAACATCGCGGAGTCAGCGAATGCTATGTTTGATGTTGAAAGAGAATTTTCCATTGTCGCTATATTTGATGAAATAAACAGGAGATTTACACTTTTATTTCACCAGAGGCGTATGGAGTTGGTGAACTCTGCAAATAGATTTGTTCCCTCAATTGAAAAAGACATATCAAAGTATATCAACGCGGGCAACAAGTTGTTGGCTCATCAAATCGCTAACTACAAGTTTAGTGTCACTGATCATGGTGATGTTGCTACAGTGGATCTACAAAGAAGAACTTGTACTTTGTAGAATTGTTTTACTTGGACAAAATACTTTGTCCACATGTCATGGCAGCGCTTCGATCTCAATATGGTTCCGATTTTGGAAATCAGATTTATGAGTACTCCTCTCCATATTATTCAGTGGAAAAATACATAATAGCATATTGTGAGGAAATTCACCCGATGCCACCTGAAGATTCTTGGATTGTCCCTTTGGATATCATAGAGAGAGAAATACCTCCTCCATATGTTGATCCAAGCAAACCTGGAAGAAGGAGATATAAGAGACACCGTGGAGTTGGTGAATCATTTCCAACAAGAAAAAATAAGGGTTCCGTATGTAGGGACTTTGGACACAAAAGAATTACATGCCCAAATCGAAATGTTCCATAAGCATTGTTGAATTTTAATGAATGTTCTTTTTTATTTGAGGATGATGTTCCCTATCTTCTTATCTTAATTTGAATCAAATTATGTTATGTTATTTATATAAAATGTGTGATTTATTTTGACCTGATGCATCTGTTACAACAGATGTCAATTATGTGTTGCTACTTACAACAGAATATTGCATCTGTCCCAACATATAACAATTATGTGTTAAATTTTACAACAGAATATTGCATATGTTCCAACATATGTCAATTATGTATTACAAGTACAATAGAAAATGCATTTGTTTCAACATATTTCTAATAAATAATTACGTGTAAGTTGTGTGAACAATCAATCAATCATTACTGTCATTGGAACAACTTTCAAGAAAAAAATTAATTACAACTCTTCATATTTTACCCTTTTTTCAAAAAAATAAGTACTTGCATTTGAAAAGTCAAAAGTTCTCTTCTCTTCTCTTCGTCTTCAGAAGTTGCAATTTTTCACAAAATCTACATTTCTGGCATTATATAAGAACACAACAACAGAAGGTCCTTTCATTTAGTTTTCTCCAACATGGAAAGGAAGGAGAAAAAATCTTCAAAAATGACTAGGAGTAAAAAAAACTACATTGAATCCCTTCCGAGGGAACTACTAATTGATATCGTTGAAAGGATTGCTTCCTACTCCCTCAAAGATTTAATGAATGTTAGATTAAGGTATGTATGTATTAATCAATTTTCGCTCTTTACTTTGATTTCCTAACCATTTGATTTGATTTCTCAGTTCCATGGTCCTTAATCAAGTCGCTAATGAACTTTCTATATATCAAAAGGTAACATTGGTCAACTTTCCTTATCGTAGATAGTCGATAGTTTAAGAAGCCATTTCTTTCCTGGAAATATGCAGAGCATTGGGAAATTTAGAAGCCTTATACAGAAAAGACGTGGTAATTTTTAAAGTTTTTCGTATGTATTCACATTTTTATCAATGTATTCTGCCTTTTAAATGTGTTATTTCTTCTCTAGTTTGATTTTTTCAACCATAACGATCCAAATGCATTGGAAATGATTAATCAAGCAGCAGACGATGGCCACATTGGTGCATCATATGTCCTTGCCATAATTTCAATCTTCAAGGGAGTTGAATCCATGAGAGAAGGCTTAATGTTCATTGTCAATATGAAAAAAACGGAGCCACTAAAAGTCAGAAGATGTCGACAGCAGTTGCGATATGTTTTAGGTGGAATGTGGGTGCCAGAACCTCATTTGTTGGGAGAAAGACCCATTTGTTGCATTGTTCATCAACCTGAGCAAATCGCTCGCAGGAATGGTTGTCCCAGGGGAAGAAACAATAAAGATGATATTCATTGCGAACTATGTAGTTGTGATTTAGAACTAGATTATGTAGTTAAATTTCTGTCTTATACCACTATGTGGTATTAATTAAATTGCCATATGTGGCAACATATGTACATAACTTGCAAATTCATGGTGAAAAAGGTTGCATTTTTGTGCTTTGTACTAATTTTTGAATTTGTTCTTTATAAAATGTTTAATCTAATAATATTTGTTTTTTTTCATAGTGTTCTCATTTTGACCATCCTTGAAATGTCATATGTGGCAACATATGCACGTTCTGTGGGATAAAATGTTGAATTTAACAGTTTAATTACAACTCTTCATATTTTACCTTTTTTTCAAAAAATTAAGTATTTGCATTTGAAAAGTCAAAAGTGCCTCTTCGTCTTCAGAAGTTGCAACTTTTCACATTCATTACATTGGGAACCATTTTTCGTTGCGGAACTCGTAGTTGAGGGATTCATGAAAGTGGTAGTGTGGTAGGCGGTAGTGTGGTAGGTGAGTATTTTATTTTAAAGATTTTATTGTAGTGTTCTTTTGCTAAGTGTCTTAATCTTGATATCTTTTTAATGTTAATTTTTGGTAGTGTGAAATTCATGGTAAAATGTAATAATATTTATTGTAATATTCTTCCGATAGTTGTTTTAATCTGAATATTTCTTTAATATTATTTATGATATATTCTAGATATAACATATCTTCGGTTCTTTGGTACATATATAAATTTTCCTCCATTAATTGTTCTAATAGTTTTATATCTTCCATAGATTTTATCCAATATTGTAAATAGTCGTATTTCATTTTAATTTGAATTTATTTCTAAATCATACCATTCTATTCTTTCGAAGTCTAAATCATGTAGGTCTATTTCATACCATTCTTGATTTAATATATCTTCTGATTCGTAATCATTAAATATTTGTTCCCATATTATTCTTCTTAATTCGATTATTTCTATATTTTTAAGTACATATAAGATTAAAGTTTCGTAGTTTTTTATCATTTCATCATGCATGTATGTAGTCATGTTCTTTATTATGCAGGTTTTTTATTTCAAATTATTCATTCATATCATATTCATAATTGATTAAATTCATATTAGATCATTATGAACTAGATTATCTTTATCATGTTTTCCTGTCACTACTAGCATCGTACTTTAGCGGATACTTTCTTCTTATCAGTGCCTCAACTTTGTTTACTCCCCTAAACGGCTTTCCTCGCCTACCGGTTTCAACATTAGGATGGCATAGTATAGAAGTTTTATCCCTGTTTTCAGTGTGCTAATAAACTAGAAATCATGATTCAAATAATTTTAATACATAATAACTAACATAAATTTATTCAATCATATATATGATATTCAGGAATATATGAAATTAGTTCCGCATATTTTTTGAACAATATACCTTTGCCTCTTGCTTAGCCATGCTATCTGAAATATCTGACTGGATTTCAGATTTATCCATTAACTTTTAAGTATTTTAGTATCTTTTAAGAGAGATTTTTGAAAGGAGAGTTTTTATTTATAAGGCATTGCCCGCCTTTACAATGTTTACTACTAAGTCTATATATAGACATACAAATTTACTATTCTAGATACATATCCTAACACATTTTTTACACATGTCCACTACTATTTACTACTATTCATGACTACTATTCATGAATAGTTCTTATTTTGTCTATCACTATCTACTTTACGACTTATTTGCACATATCAATAATGTACACTATCTACCACATACACTTGTCATATTTTGTACAAAACACCCATACCTACTTTATGACAACTATTATGACTTTTACATTTACATTATTAACTTTTTTCGTTCATATCTCTTTAGTATTTTATTTGGTATCGGATAATTATATGTTTTAGTTTTTGCATTTAAATTTCTATAATCAATAACCATTCTACTTTTTCCTCTTTTTTGTTCACTATGTTTATTTACGATAAATGCCGGGCTTGTATGCATACTATTGCTTTCTTGTATATATCCTTTTTCTAGTAATTCATCTATATGTATTTTAAATTCGGTTAAATCATTAAAATTATACTTTAATGATTTTTGGGTTATTATACTGTTATTATCAATTAGCTCAATTTTTACTTTTGTTTTATGTTTTTCCCATCCTTGTAAAGGATCCTCACTATATAATAATTCTAACTTATCTTGAATTATTTTTACCCTAAACCCTAAACCCTTTATATTCCGAATATAATTTATTTAATTTTCTTCTTATTTTTCTTACGAGAAAAATAAATTATATCCGGAATATAAACAACTTAATATCACAAAGACTGATAATGAAAAATTAGATCAATAAATAAATAATATATCTAAAATAGAATATAAATATATTCAATATTTAAAAATACAATGAATAACAAGAATAACGAATATAGACAAAATCTTAATTAAATAATTATAGAAAAACGACAAGAATTAGAACATAGGCAAAATAGACTTAACAATAATATATTCGCAGGAAATTTGTCACAAATCTATAGTAGCACAAAGAAAGACTATTTTATATCTAGAAATACAAATAAATAACTTAGAATATAAACTACAACATAATTTATAAATGAATAAAGAAGAATACGCAATAGATGAAAAAACATATGAAAATTATGACGGATTAAAAATAAAGATAATATTTTCTAATCTAGGAAGAAGATATAAGAAAATAGGTGACAATATAAGTTTAATGTTAGAAAAAGAAACGGTAAAACTAGAAGATAGTTTAACTGCTATGGTAAGAATAACAAAAGAAAATGAAGAAATAGATAGAAGAACGGAAATTGAAAAAATAAAACAACAAGCAAAAAAGGAAGTACAACAATTAAAAGAAGTAAAAAATACTAAAATTATAGAGCTAGAAAAAGAGCTAGCAATATTAAAAGAAATGTATGAAATTAAACAAAAAGAAAAATAACAAAAAACAAAATTAGCAAATGAGATAATTAAATTTAAAGAAAAATTGCAATTACAAGATGAATTAGGAGAAAAAGAAGAAAATAACCAAGATAATCTACACGAAATAAGAGTTGATGAAATAAACGATGATGATCTAGAACAACATTCGGAAATAAGCGAAACATATACGGAACTTTTAGCAAACATAGATAATACAAAGAATTTAGAAGTAAATACAGAAGACGTAGACATGGACGAAAAACCTAGCACATCAGGGGTAAAAAGCCCAAAAAATTTTAATCCAAATTATTATAATGAAAATTATGAACAATATGATAAAGAAAAAACTACATGGGATAAAAGATTAA